GAGAGCAGGGTAGGTGTACACAGCAGTGTGTAGTGAGGAGAGAGAGAGAGAGGAGAGCAGGGTAGGTGTACACAGCAGTGTGTAGTGAGGAGAGAGAGAGGAGAGCAGGGTAGGAGTGAGGAGGGTACACAGAGACGTGTATGGGATAGGAGTGAAACAGTCAATTTTCTCAAGTAGGGAAGAGTGAAGGCAACAGCGTATCTGGCCTTGCTCAGTGCCTCTACTCCACTTGCTTAGCCTGCGCCTTTTTACTCACACAGAATCGAATCCTGTCGTACTAACATGCAATCAGAAGTAGATGCGACGTACGCTTCACTCATCGCAACTTGAATTATTTCGTAATTCATTCTCAAAATTGAAATGATTTAGTTTTTTCGTCTTTTTCTACGATCGAGCGAATGTGTGTTCTCGCGTAGCTGATCAGCACTGCTTCGATTACCAACAACAGTTGCTAGTGCAGACAAACCTGTATATAACGACCACCTCTTATAACGACCATCTCTATATAACGACCACTTCTATATAACGACCACCTCTATATAACGGCCACCCTCTATATAACAGCCGCCTCTATATAACAGCCACTACCCATAAAGGCCAATGTTGACATTTTCCCCGAGTAGCAGTTATGCAGTGAGACCGCCTCTATAGAACACCCGCACATCCGTAACGTCCACTTCTAGGCATTTCCCTCGAGCTGCTATTAGTTATATATTATATATATATGCGCGCGCGTATGCGTTGTGTGAGGGGAGGTAACTGTGGCGCTCATCTCGCCGTGCAGGCGCTGTGTGAATCTCTGGAGGAGGAGGTCTACGAGCTTCAGCGGGACCTGCAGGAGAGGGACGCCACGCTCGCTCTGCTGCGCGATGAACTGGCACTCGCCAAGTCGCAGGCGGAAACCATGGCAACGATGCTCGGGTGAGTAGTCCCCCGCGTGACGGGACGCGGCGTGACTCGCTTTCACGGCGCGGTCTGTGAGCGACTTCACCTCATTTCTCGTCACGACCGTGAAATTTTCCGAAATACTTCAAATATGTGAGTCGTTTTAACGGTCGGTCTTAACAGAGTTTTTCCAGGGTTAGCGATATGTTTCATTTGTAATAGAACGCGCAGGTAATGGAGTCCATCCCAGGTGTTTTACATCACCGAGACCTTGACCATGACCCCTCTCTACCTGCTCGTATTTTGCCTCCGGCAGGGCGTGTTGAATTTCGGCAAGACGGCGGTGCTGTGCCTGCACAGCGTCGCTCGCGTCGCGCTAGCCGACGTGGTGGCGCCCTCTAGCCAGCCGCCGGTCATCAACGCGATCTACGAGTTGCTTCATGAGCTGATCGCCTCTCACGCGGAGGGAGCGCTGCACGCCATACCCAGCTACGTGCACGCCACCAAGAGTATCCTTGTCACGGCCACGGGTCGTCACGGGGTCACCAGGGGTAGTCGCGGGGTCGCTGCGGAGTCATCGGGGGTCATCGCGGGGTCGCTGCGAAGTCACCGGGGGTCATTGCGGGGTCGCTGCGGAGTCACCGGGGGTCATTGCGGGGTCACCGGGGGTCGTTGTGGGGTCGCTGAGGAGTCACTGGGGGTCATTGCGGGGTCATTCGATTTTGTTAAATCTTGGTATGTGAATGTGTAAGGCTAGCCCCAAAACAGTTGTTACTCCTATGGGAGAGATGATAACGTCCTATTACGTTTATTTCGTCTAACTGGTTAACAACTCTACAATCATACCTATATACGTGTAATATTGTGTTTTAGATTCTTCGTTACAGTAATTTGACTGGAATATTTTATTGTTTTTATTTGCGCGATATTCGAAAACCAAAATGGTTGCACCATCTCTCGTCAAGATTTCAGACTTTTAGATCTGAGACATTTATTTTCGCATCAAAACTTATGCATATATCATTATCATGAGTATATAATGGGAGATATATGCTATATAATGGGAGTTCTCTCATATATACTCTTGCTTTATATATCCCCCTCCCTCTTCTATCACACCCAAGGTGAGCTACAGTGTCATTGACACTTTCATTTAATTTCAACGTCATAAAAAGTCAGGAAAAGTACGTAAAATTTCACACAGAAGTAACAGAACTCCAGATAAATATTGCGGTGTATCTATGTAATGTAAATTAAGGCATGCTTTAAGTTAACCGCCACATAAAGAAACATTGAAATTTTCATAGAACATGACAAGACTTTGAATTGTTAGTCACAAAATTGGTATTTTACTAAGAACAGAATGGACTTACAATTTTTCCCAGAATGCATGGAAATGGCCTATCTGCCCTTCCAAATTTCAAAAATTTCCGGGGGGGCATGCCCCCAGAACCCCCTAGCAGGCAATTGTGCTACGCGCACTGTTATCGTGCCGAAGGCACGAATTGAAATATTTCCGCCAAAAACATCTCAACCTGTTCTCATGTCTGGTCATCACAGGGGCATCACGGGTCATCATGGGTCACCACGGGTCATCATGGGTCACCACAGGGTCATCATGGGTCACCACAGGGTCATCACGGGGTCGTTGTAATTCCACCAAGTGGGTTTTTTCGCCGAGAAATGCATAGTTCGGAGTTCATATCTGTGAATGGCAGTTTTCACTCTGGTTCATGCTTGGAAAACCCATCTTTGGAAAACTTTGGAAGGATTATGCAAGTGGATAATGTGAGTGGATTAACTTTAGATAATGCGAGTAAATCCGCGTGGCGTGGATGGCGCTGTGATGGCCTAATCGTATTTTCAGGATCGTTGATCTATTTGCCTGGCGAGTTGTTTTTTTGGTGGGGGAACTTAAGATTGTGTCGTGACATGATTTTTCCAACTTGAAAACGGCAATCATTACTGTAGACGAATGAAATGTTCACCATACTTAATATACTTATATAATAATCTCTCTCTCTCTCTCTCTTTCTCTCGTTCGCTATCTCTCTCTCTCTCTTTCTCTCTCTTTCTCTATCTCTCCCTCTCTCTCGCTGCCCCTCTCTCTTTTTTTTCTCTCTCTTTTTATCGCTCTCTTTCTCTCCCTCTATCGCTCTTCAACATACGATGTAACGAGTATGCTCTTGACTCTGCACAGGTCTGTGAAGGGTGCCTCCCTCCTCCGCCAACAAACAATCAGCTCAGCTGAGGATGAACCGTCCAGCTTTAAGGAGGAGGAGGGGGAGGAGGAAGGTGTGGGAAGAGGGAGACTTCCCTCGTGGGGAGGCCGACCGGACGGGGACAGCCCGGATGTGTCGTCGGTCGAGGAGCATGTTGTCGCACGCAGGTACGCCACGAATCCCTCAACCACGCCCTAGTGGTTGTCCCTGTCATCACCGCCATCCGCAGCATCAGTAGCAGCGTTGCTATGGAATATAGAAATATCGAAGAATATAGAAGCGTCGTATCAGAATCACCGTCATTATCATCATCGTTATCATTATTGTCGTCATCGTCATTGTCATCATCGGCATCAGCATCAGCAGCAGCAGCAGTATCATCCTCATCAGCATCATTAGCATCAGCGTTATCATCATCAGTAGCAGCAGCCGCATCAGCATCATCAGCAGCAGCATCATCAGTATCATCATCATCGTCAGCAGCAGCAGCAGCAGCAGCATTGGTATCATCATCAGCATCATCAGCAGCAGCATCAGCAGCACCATCAGCATCATCATCATCAGCATCATCAACATCATCATCAGCAGCAGCGTCAGCATGCTAGCATTACCTGCTTCATTCTCTCCCTCCTGTAGGTACGGCTCACCCGAGGCCCCGGCCAGCCAGCCCGACTCCCTGACCGCCACCGCGAGCTGGGAGCTCAGCGGTGGACACTACACTGCCGACGTGAAGCTCTCACGCATGCCCCCCAGCAAGGCAACCTGAAGGTAGCGCCACCGCAGCCGCCATCGTGCCAAATATCGTCACGGCAGCAGCGTGGTTGACGAGAGGAGGACGCGGTGTGACAGATGAACAGTCAATGTGATTGTTCATGCGCGGGAAGACGTTCAGTGTTCCATCATCGTCAAGGTCGCACGTCAAGGTCGCACGTTGTCGTCAATGTCGTCGTCAATGTCGTCGTCGAGGTCGCACATTGTCATCATCAAGGTCGCACGTCGTCATCAATGTCGTCGTCGAGGTCACACATTGTCGTCATCAAGGTCGCACATCGTCGTCAATGTCGATGTCGAGGTCGCACATCATCATTAAGGTCACACGTCATCGTCGAGGTCATGGTCAAGGTCGCACATCGTCGTCGAGGTCATAGTCAAGGTCGCACATTGACGTCAAGGTCGCACGTCGTCTTCGAGGTCATGGTAAAGGTCGCACATCATCGACGAGGTCATGGTCAAGGTTGCACATCGTCGTCAAGGTCACACGTCGTCGTCGAGGTCATGGTCAAGGTTGCACATCGGCGTCAAGGTCACACGTCAGCGTCGAGGTCATGGTCAAGGTCGCACGTCGTCGTCGAGGTCATGGTCCAGGTCGCACGTCGTCGTCATCGTCGTCATCAAGGTCGCACTTCGGAATAATCTTATCATTGTCGTTGTGGTTTTTATGCAGCAGCAGCAACAGCGGCTCATTAGCAATGAAGTAAAAGAGAAAAGAAAGTGTGCGTGCGAGAGTGCGTGCGAGCATGCGTGCGTGCGTGCGAGCGTGCGTGCGAGAGTGCGTGCGTGTGTACGTGCGTGCGTGTATGAGTGCGTTCGGGCGTGTGTGCGAGCGTGTGTGCGAGCATGCGTGCGTGCAGCGTGTGTGTGCGAGCGTACGTGCGTGCAGCGTGTGTGCGCGAGCATGCGTGCGTGCAGCGTGTGTGCGCGAGCATGCGTGCGTGCAGCGTGTGTGTGCGATAATGCGTGCGTGCAGCGTGCGTGTGTGCAAGCGTGCGTGCGTGCAGCGTGCGTGTGTGCGAGCGTGTGCGTGTGCGTGCGTGCGTGCGTGTGTGCGAGCGTGCGTGCGTGTGTGCGAGCATGCGTGCGTGCCTGCGTGCGTGTGTGCGAGCGAGCGTGCGTACGAGCGTGCGTGCGTGTGTGCGAGCATGCGTGCGTGCCTGCGTGCGTGTGTGCGAGCGAGCGTGCGTACGAGCGAGCGTGCGTGTGTGCGAGTATGCGTGCGAGCGTGCGTGTGTGCGAGAGGGCATGCGTACGTGCGTGTGTGTGTGTGTGTGCGTGTGAGCGTGCGTGCGTTCGTGCTCGTTCAACCAAACTCGTAGAAGGGACATGCCACATCGCTGCGTTGACTACTGCTTACAATGTGAACGTAGTATGTAATCACGGAGATAGGAACGGACACTACCTATTGTTTACAGACACGCGGCGACCTGATTGTTATTGTTTGCTCGGGTGTTTTCGAGGCGGCGTGTAAATAAACTAATTTCCTATAACGGTTTCCGATAGACTCTCCGCTTTCTTCGCGTGATTTGTTTTGTCGTTGCCTAGGAGACGGTCGGTAAGGACGCTGCATGGCGGTAGCAGTCGCTGTACCGCTGCTTTCTCTGTCTGCTTCTCATCACCCCATGCGCACCCCTAGCGGGAGTTTGCTGCGTGAAATATCCATCCAATACACACATATCCTCTCACAAATATATTAAGATATAATTGATAAAGAAATTTATATGGGTACTGAAATATATCTGTTCGTCTATTCTTTATGCTATGCTCATCCACAGATATCCAAGGTTACGTATTAACGTGATAGTGACAGAGCGCGTGCGTGTTCTACATGTACATACACATGTACAATGACATTTTATATATTTTAGTGTATTTTATGTAATTTATTATGATAACTGTTATTATATACAGTTCACTGTGCAATACACAAAGTAGGCCTGACGTGTCACGTGATTTGATGCGCCAACCAGGTGGCCGCTCGTGCGGCAAGAGTTTAGAATTTAGATGGTCACAGTGTTGAGATATTCGGTTAGGAAAATTTACATGCTGAAAAAAACAACCGAAACAAACCAACAGGAATTTTCTTTTGTGGAATTTTGCCATAGATTGTGACGGTCTTGCGCGGCTCGTGAGCTCGTTATGTGTGAGATTAGGTTATGTTAACGATGCCTAATTGGTTTAGTTTAAAAACCTGCGCAGTGTGAAACTACGGAGGCTGCGTATAATGACTATACCTGCGCGTATTATGTAATGCGATCAGGTGCATCACTGGCTTTTGATGCTGGTCGATTATAATGGTGTCAGCATGCGTTGTTCGCTGCTCGTTATCCTATTCAGTTCATGTAGCTCACTGTAGTGTGAACGGGTTAGTTGCGCTCGCTCGTGTAACATCCACGGTTGTTGATGTAAAATTCCAACTGTTCTGACGACGCCGTCGATATTCTAATCATCGCTTTATGAAATAGACAGATACTGAAGTGCGTAAAATTTATACGTTTACAGTTTTGGTAATGAGTTTGTGACCCGTTCAGTCTGGCCAAAATGTATAAGACAATGTCTCAACTACGTCCTTTTTTTTATATGATGAGAAGCGATCCTCATATTATATATATATATATGGTCTTCATTATGATGAACGCAGTTGTCTACGGTAGAATGGTGAGGGGGAGGGGGAGAAATTCCATCATCCATCGCACGGAAATCATCGTCAATAATTCATATCAACATCTCGCTCCCTACCATATGTACGAAACCGCACATTTTATTCTTGTACATTTATTTTACATAATATTTACATATGTATTATAACTTTATGAATTCCCACTCCCTCAACCAGTTTATAATCGCAACTTAACTCATCCAATACATCTATTTTATAATACAATCTGTAGTGAATGGATTAATTTTCACATTAAAGTCTATCCATGAATTAATTATTATCCATCCAACGACTTTCATTTATAAATAACTATGGTAAAAGTAGTTATTGAGCAAGTATTTGATGCAACAATCGTCGATATATGATCAGGAAATCTTGTTTACATAAATCACTATGTATAGTCCGGAGGCTGGCACAGGCATCGTCAACGTCGTCATCATCATCGTCACCCCCTCTAGCCGGTGTGAAGCCACGGCGGCGCCATGTTTGTCGTCGTCCTATGATGACGGTCGACCGGAGGTCCACCCGCCTCCGACATCGCACTTTGGCTGCAATCGGTAGCGAGTACGATAACAATGTGCTTAATATGTAGTCGGATAACTCTCCTGGAGTACAATAACTCGCTGTTATTATGTGGTTAGGTTCCCTTCCCAGAGTACAACGACACTGCATATATGTAGTTAGGTATCCTTCCCAGAGTAGGCCCTACAACAATACTCCATAAGAAGTCGGGTACCCCTCCCAGAATACAACAATACTCCATAAAGAGTTAGCTACCCCTCACATAGTACAGTATTTGATAATACTCCGTGTGGTGTCAGGCACGCCTCACAGAGTACAATAACACACCGTATATAGATTATGTACTGTAAATGTATATGTATACTACAATAATACTACAATAGTGGAGTATAATACTCGTAAGAGGGTACAATAATACTCCATGTAGAGCCGGGCACCTTGCCCAGAATACAATAATACTCTGCACCGGCTAACACTAGCACTCGGGTGTCCATCGCGATGGATGGTCACGTGGGATGCGTAGTATTATGTCGTCGGCTGCACTCACCGTCGGACACGCGCCGGCGCAAAACTGCACGCTGCAGTCGACGATCACGTGACCGATGTCGTCGAACCCTGGCGGCACGAGTACGGTCGCCATGAAGGTAGACTGCCGTGCCGACGGCTGGTTCACCCACTTCTCAAACAGCCACACTCTCTGTGTATCGACGGGACACCTGCGGAAGGACGGAGGTGAAGAAGGAGGGGTAGAGAAAGAGGGGTGGAGAAGGAGGGGTGGAGAAAAAGGAGTGGAGAAGGAGGGGTGGAGAAGGAGGGGTAGAGAAAGAGAGGTGGAGAAGGAGGGGTGGAGAAAGAGGGGTGGAGAAGGAGGGTGGAGAAGGAGGGGTAGAGAAAGAGGACAGCGTGTAACTATGGATCGTCGTCTAGTCGACGCAAGCGGTGTGCGATCGTCGGCATGGCAGCTGAATGTTGACCGAGACTGTTCTTGTGTTTGTTCGCGGTCGTCAACAGCTGAAGGAGCTGTTTCCCGGCCTGAGCTTCGCCCTGCCGCCTAAGAGATGGTTCGGTGACAACTTTGATGTCAACTTCCTGGAGGACAGGCTTGTTGGTCTGCAGGTGTTCGTCAACAACGTAACCGGTCACAAGGTCGTCTGTGCGAGGTGACTATACTCACGCTTACCCACTATACTCACACGCTACATGCTACACTATACTCACACGCTACATGCTACACTATACTCACACGCTACATGCTACACTATACTCACACGCTACATGCTACACTATACTCACGCTTACCCACTATACTCACACGCTACATGCTACACTATACTCACACGCTACATGCTACACTATACTCACACGCTACATGCTACACTATACTCACACGCTACATGCTATACTATACTCACACGCTACATGCTACACTATACTCACACGCTACATGCTACACTATACTAACACGCTACATGCTACACTATACTCACACGCTACATGCTACACTATACTAACACGCTACATGCTACACTATACTCACACGCTACATGCTACATGCTACACTGACACGCTACATGCTACATTCTACACGCTACACTCACACATTACATGCTGCATGCTACACTCACACGCTACATGCTAATTGCTACATGCTACACGCTACATGCTACATTATTACTGCATGCTACACTTGCATGTAAGTTTATTGCTGTAACTATTGCTACGTGAATGCTCGGGTCACTATGGGTTACCGTAATCATGTGTAATATAAATTCCTTGGGAGATTATTTGATATCAATAGGAACTGAAGGTCAACCAATTTGGTAGGTCATTCCTGCTTCTAATATGTCATCTGCTGTGAAACCTAATATCTATATGCTCTATATGTTGTGTGAAAAAAATGTATGAATCTGCCTGTGATATCCTATTTTTCTTAAAATGATTACGTCACCATAAATAGTAAAAAATTAAAAAAACATTTCCACCTTTTCACAAAATGTAAGTAATTCTGGTCACTTTTTATGGTTAAATTGCTGCATTATACTTCCTATTTTACTATATTGTTCGATGTAGACATACACTCGTGACTCATACATAGCCCATAGCACGCAATTAATGTCAGTATGATAGTATCATAATATCAAATCGTCCAGGTTTTTTGGATTTTTAACTAGTTGAGAAACAATCTTATCAGGTAAAGGGGTGGAGAAGGAGGGGTGGAGAAGGAGAGGTGGAGAAGGAGGGGTGGAGAAGGAGAGGTGGAGAAGGATGGGTGGAGAAAGAGGGGTGGAGAAGGAGGGGTGGAGAAAGAGAGGTGAAGAAGGAGGGGTGGAGAAGAAGGGGTGGAGAAGGAGGGGTGGAGAAGGAGGGGTGGAGAAGGAGAGGTGGAGAAGGTGGGGTTGAGAAGGACGGGGGAAGAAGGATGGGTGGAGAAAGAGGGTGGCGAAGGAGAGAAAGTAGAAATTATGCACATGTTATTGAGTTTATACGTGCCTACGTACCTTGTGTCTGAGCTTATACAACTAGTACCTCAGTAACGATGTTGTGAAAACATGCCTTAGGCATTACGATTTCGTTGAGGCGGTTCTTTGATCGATTTGAGGCGTTTCGAAACCATTTAGTATGCGTATTTCGTTTCACATCAGTCGCGAGTATTTCCTTATAGCATGCACATTTCACCCTTCCAAATAATCGTCATCATCATCGTCATCATCACTACCGTCATCGTCGTCGTCATCATGGTCGTCATTGTCATCGTTAGTTTAGCGATATTAATATTGAGTGATAAATTAATTCACCTGTGACGAAATGCATGAGATCCACTTAAATGTTACGCCTGACCATAAAAATAATATACTAGCTAGGCAATGTCTCTAGTTTCTCTACATATTTCTATGCGTCTGACTGTATATAATAATGATGGAGTGGATCTTCGTAATCAAGATGGCGGCGCCCTCGCCCGCCGCCATTCCTACAATGATTCATATCATTGTAATGCTCATAGGATCTATGTCCCCCAGGTTACTATCGGAGGGTACCCTGGGTACGGTTCGATATATCGGAACGTACCCTGGTAACTATATCTGATATGGTTAGGGTTAGGGTTAGGATTAGGGTTAGGGTTAGGGTTAGGGAGTAGGCGTAGGCGTAGGCGACTTCCTAGACTCGTTAGTGGAGTAGGTGAGGTACGGTCCGGCATATTAGATAGTACCAGGGTACGTTCCGATATATCGAACCGTATCCAGGGTACCCTCCGATCGTACCCTGGGGGACATAGACCCTACGGGCCATTGTAATATCATTGTATATTACAATCATATCATTCATCAATTATATTACAAATCATTTATCAATCATATCATTGTATATCATTCATATCGTCCGTCCAATGATTATATACGGTAGAAGGGGAGGGGAGGGGTGCCTCGTGATACGCCTCCAATTTCGACATTCTGTTTTGTGCACGTTTCGCGAATGCTCTTGGCATTGAGCGTGCGTCGACCCATTTTCCCGTTTTTCTATCGGTGCGATCAAACCAAGTTTTCGTCTGAGTTTTCAATGTCGAGTGCGACTGTCATCTGATAATCACATTGGAAAGTCATTACGAGATGCATGACCATATGCTATAAGCACGCGTGTCTATTCGTGATAACAGCTGTATTGTGTTTTGCATTGCAGAAAGCGGTCGTGCGAGGCATGTACCAGGTTCTCGACATGTGCGACAGCCACGCCGTGGCCATGTTGCACGCTGTGCTCGGCCCAGCAGGTGGCGTTGTCTTCCGCACCCTATACGACGAGTTTGTCAAATATCACAAGTACACCGGCAAAGTATAGACTGCGTCATGAAAGAAGTCGCTACATATGGCAGGATTGAATACTTGTATTTTTCTAGGACGTGTGTAATAAACATTACTTGGCATTTTTATGTAATCAAAAAGTTCTATTATTTCTCTTTTTAATCGTTACTTACTATTGTGCTTTTTTCTACTGATATGTTGTACTATGTCAGTATATATACTATATATATATCATATATAAATATATATATATTTACATATATATAATATATATATATATATATATATATATATATATATATATATATATATATATATATATATATATAATATACTTATAACAGCTTATGATAAAACTTAAAAATCACGTTTAATTTGTAAGATATTATCATCGTAACATGTTGCAATATTGCAACCATGGCAGGCAAAGGGTTGAATTCAAGTCGGTAGCATGCCTTTTATGGCATTTATGTAGATGTTATCCTGTTGCCAAATCGCCGTTAAATCTTGCAACGCTGGTAGAACTGCCGAGGGGTCGGGACAGTAGAGGGCGCTAGTTTCCTGATCGTTGATAACAGAGATGTTGTTTGGCATCATGCATGCTGGCAAGCAGACCGGGGAGCCTGGTGGACAGCGGTCAGCAGCCAGCAATGAGGTCATCCTGTGTGCTAACAACGTGGACAGGTAGGCTGCATCTCTCTCCCTCCCGTCCTCTTTCCTTCCCTCTCTCTCTCTCTCCCTTCCCTCCCTCCCTCCTCTCCCTCCCTTCCTCTCCTCCTCTCACCCCCTCCTTCCATGCCTTCCTCTCTTTGTCCCTCCCTTCCTCCCTCCCTCCCTTCCTCTCTTCCTCTCACCCCCTCCTTCCATGCCTTCCTCTCTTTGTCCCTCCCTTCCTCCCTCCCTCCCTTCCTCTCTTCCTCTCACCCCCTCCTTCCATGCCTTCCTCTCTTTGTCCCTCCCTTCCTCCCTCCCTCCCTTCCTCTCTTCCTCTCACCCCCTCCTTC